ATGTTCGTCGCCGGCTCTGAGTGTCGGAGCCACTTCCGGGTGGGTTAAATATGTGTGTGTGTGTGTGTGTATATGGGGGTGCACATATCAGTGTGTTAAATGCAACAACAAACAGGTGCAAAGAGAGTGCAGCCAAAGGAGTTGGCAATACCACCAAAAGAATTTTTGGCACAAGAGTCTGACAGGTCCAACAATTGCAGTCAGTAATTCGTAAATTTCTAATTCCATTTATACGTATGAGTAGATCTTGAAATACATTTAGATTAGGTTTAGTTTAATATTTGAGTGCTTCGATTTCAAAACTGTTTCTCATCTCTAATAGCTTTTCCGACTACCGTCTACCTCCTGCCTAGCTGCCTTGGAAACCCTTTTGCTTGCCCCACGAACAAGACGTTACAATTACAATTGGTTTATGCATAAATTCTCTTACGATACTCGTACTCTTGCCTACAATATATACGACATTTGGGGATTGGCTTTTGTGTTGTGTGTGTGTGTTGTGGGGATGACTGCAACATCCGTATCCAGTTGAAACCATGATAATGTGTCGCCTCCCGCACAGATCAGCTTTAGATTCCTTCCTTTTCGTTCCGTTCCATTCCGTTCCTTTTCCGTTTCCGCTTACATAATTGACAAATAAATTTGGCTTACCATTCAACGTTTTGCATGGTCAATGGTCAACATTTAAGATTTCTGTTTGATTTCCTTATGTATTTTGAGTATCAATTGGTTGCTGTGCTCACGGTGCCGGCTGCCTTTTGCTGTAGTTCCTAGTATTGTTAGCATAACTCTGATTATTATTATTATTATTATTAGCATTATCGTTACTATTAGTAGTAGTTGTAGTAGCTTCCGTTTGATTGGCATTTGTTGCGTTGTTGCTGTTGCTGTTGCTGCTGATATTGCACAATGTCTTAATGGCCTCATGGGGATCTTCTCCGCCAGACGAGTGGCAGGGGCCAGCAAACTGCTTCATCTGGGCCATATACTGATTAAAATTCTGCCGCTGCTCCTCGTCCACCTCATTATCGTCGCTCTCATCGATGATGATCGTCTGCGGCTGTTCCCGATGTTGCTGCTCCTGTAGATGTAGATGTTGCTGGTGCTCCTGCTGCTGCTGCAATCTCATGTTGCCATTGCTGAGAGTTGTTTGGGGCGATTGTTGCTGCTGGTGTTGTTGCTGTTGCTGGAAGTAGTAGTCGCGTGCATAAAAGTTAAAGGGCTGGGCCCTGCGCTGATGTTGCAGTTGTTGCTGTTGCTGTTGCTGTTGCTGATAGTTGCTGTTCGTGGCAAAGTGCGGCGTCGGCTGTTGCTTCATGGACGTATCATCGAGGCGCCAGGCGCCATAGTTCCAGCCAAGGTACTGACTATATCATTCACTTGTCGCGTTGTGCTGCTGCTGCTGGTGCTGCGGCTGCAATTGTTGGTGCAACATGTGCTGCTGCGCCAGGGCATGGGCATGTTGCTGCAGTTGCTGATGCGGCGATTGTTGCTGCTGCTGCTGCTGGGATTGCGATTGCGATTGTTGCTGCTGCTGCTGTTGTTGCTGTTGCTGCTGTTGCGCTGCACTGAAGGCCGCGGCGGCCGCCGCTGCCATGGCAGCCTGGGAGGCGACGGCCATGTGGCAGGCCGTAGGCGTGGAGGGCGGCCCCACCGAGGAGCCCGACAGCAGATTGTCAAACTTGCGCGTGTCCGGATTGTACATGGGATGCTTGAACTTGCAATGGGTGCGCAGGTTGTCGCTGCGCGTGTAGGTGGCCCGGCACAGCGGGCACTCGAAGCGGCCGGGGAAGTGGACGTGGTAGTGGTTGCGGATGTGCGTGACGACCTTGCCGCACAGCTTGCAACGGTGCAGGTTGCAGCCGCCCGAGAGGCGCTCGAAGGTGAGCCGCATGTGCCAGGCCTTCGAGCCTTTTTATCGGTATTTTTTGATCAGAGTTTGGAATTTGATTTATTTAGCATATTGCATTTGTTTTGCGGTATATTCGGTATATTGCGGTATTTTTGGTATTTATATATTTTATTTTTTGGTTTGTTCGTTCAAACGCGCAAAGAAAAAAAGAAGAGAAAAACAATGTTGTTGTTGGTGATTCACAGAAACAGAAAAATCATTTTTATAATAATTCTTAAACTGTATAATTAGATGGTTTCATAGTCTGTGTGTGTGTGTGTGTGTGGTGTGTGTTTGTGTGTGTGGTATTTCTGGTATTAGATTCGTATTTTTTATTCTTTTTTTTTTCTTTTTTTTTTGCTATGGAAGGAATGATTAAACTTAAACAAAGTGTTATTAAATCAATTTGCATATCCCTGAGACAGGAGACGATGGCTGATGGGGATGTTTGGGAGTGGATTGATTTTAAAAATTAAGCCAAGAATTTTTATTCGTGGGAGAAGCCATTCTCTTGGAGGTTGTTCAATCTCAGAATTCATACATTTTTCGCAATCAAATTTTGTTACACCCAAAAAATATCGATTTATAGGGAAATTTGTGATTTAAATTTGTTTTTCTTTCATTTTTTTTATCGGTGAATTTTGAGAACATGAGAAATGTTGACAGCACCCGAACGGGAGGAGGAAGAAAATTAAGTACTATATATATAAAGAATAATGATGTAAATCAATCCCCGATTCGGGGAGCACTTCTCTGCCCGTTTTGCTTAACATGTATTCACATATTTGGTGGAGAATTATTTACAATAATAGCTAAGAGTTAGGGTTCAACGGGGGACGGGACTGGCTTTTATATGGAAGAACCCAAACCAAATTATATATATATTTGTATATGTATATGCAATGATTTGTGTGGTGTGGGACACATAACTAGAATCTATAAGAATAACTATCTATGTTTTTTAATAGATGATTATGTGTGGTTCGATTTTATTCGGTTTCTTTTTAAGATTCGTTGTTAATTTATTCGTCAAGAGAGCCCAAGAACCGTATTAGTTTCTGATTTTTTCACTGTTTTCGAAGGGGCTTCCGGGGTGGTGGTGGTGTTTGGTGTTGTGGTGTGGAATGTACATAAGTCAGAGAGAAAGACAGAGTGAGAAAGAGAGAGAGAGAGAGACAGAAAGAGGGACAGAGAAAGAGAGAGAGAGCAAGGGCAGGGACAAATCGAGGATGAGATATTGCAAAATAATGAGACACAAAACAAAATCAAAGATAAGTAAATGACTGATTCTGGATGAACACAAGACCTAGCGCAGCAACATCGATAAGAAAATAACATCGAACATCGAAAAGAACATCGACAGTTGCATATCGTTTATCGAACAGAGTTCATTCAACACCCCTCCGCCTGACAGAACGAAAACAAATATGGAACATCGCCCAAAACGGAGCGAGAGCGAGATCGAGATCAAGTGTGTGTGTGAGAGAGAAGGAAATATGTATATAGCTAGAGAGAGAGAGAGATATCGAGTGAGTGAGTGAGTGAGTAGAGGCAAGTGTTTCCATTTATAAGTATACAAAATTAAATAAAATTTTCAATCGTTTGGCCAATTCCTGTTTTCTTTTTTTTTCATTCTTTTTGTTTCAATTTGTAGCTTTTCGTTTTTAAAAGAAAATAATTAAAAATACATATATTTAACTTAGATGACGTAACTTATGGATGACTAAATTATAGTGGGAGGATTTGTGCTTAAGAAGATCTTAGAAATTTCAACTTACCGTTAAGACAGTGCGCTTGATGTTTAAATTGTATTATTGTTTAATTTCAATGTTTTCTTTTTTTATATATTCAATTGGGTGTGGGTTTCATTTAGTTTTAATTCATATTTTGAATTTTGTGTAGTTTAGTTATAGTTTTTAGTAAGTACCTAAGGACGGGGCTGGGTTCTCTTTTGTATTTTTTTGTAATGAAAAGAACTGGAATTTGATTTGAAAGAGATTTATTAAGTAAAGTTAAAGATTTTAAAGATTGATTTATCCTTTTTGCATATATATATATATATTCATATATATGCAGGTGTATTTGTATATATGTTTATAAGTGTTTAATAATTGGATTCATTGCTTGATTGGCTTCTGTGGCTAATGTTTTAAGTACATTTTCTCCGATTTGTTTGATTGTTTATTCTTTAGCAAAGCACTGAACTCTTTCGATATATCGATATTCGATAAATTATGATATTTAATCTGTTTGCAACTCTAATCAACATCGGTGGGTGTTTTGCCAAAGATACGGTTACGAATACGGATCAGGAGAGCGCCCCATTTCGTTGGCGGGCTCTGGCCAAACGGCTCGGAATCGGGCGCTGTCCGCGATAATTTCTGATCAGCAAGACTTGTGATATACTTGGGGGATTTCGAGAGAGAGATAGAGAGGGTTTCTCAAAAATAGTTCTGCCTGACAGATATTGCTTTTGGTTCAAGTCTTGTCGTTGCTTGCCTCACTCGATGCATTTCATTTAGTTAATAGTTATAGTTTGTATTTATTTTGGACGTTATGGCCTATGGACTAGAAGAAAGATTAGCTAATATGGCACAAAATGACACGAACAATAATTAGTCAACATTCACTACAGCACATGTTAAGAGTCGAACTAAAGAGCTAAAATAATAACTGACTTGGAAATCGATTGGAATTCTACATATAATACTTGTCAAAGTTTCCCTCCATTGAGTACTGGTCTCGGTATACATAATTTGATATCGTGATATCGTAATATCATTATCTTTTTGGTTTCTTTCTTTCTTTCTTGTGTTTTTACTGATCTAAAAAAGCGTCTAAAGGTTCATACGTTTTAACGATAGAGAATTCAATGTCTTGTCTACGATTAGCATTGATATATGCATATAGTTTATAAGATACATAACTACATCCTCGCTCTAGAGTTATTTATTTATGTATGTTCGTATATTACGTATTCGGTTCTTGGTTTTGATTCGATTATTTAGATAGTTCTGAAAACCTTTTTGATTTGTTTCACTCTTCTTCCGCCCTAATCATTCGTCTATTGGGAGAGAGGGGACATAGAGACTGGGCCCTAGAGAAGTGATCACATATGTACATAGTGGCTGAAGAAGCGGTCCTTGATGTCCGCGTGCTTGATCTTGCAGTGGGCCTTCATGTTGTCCCTGCGCGTGAACTTCTGCCCGCAGACGGGGCACTCGTGGCTCTGGGGCCGATGGATGTTGGCGTGGTGCCACCGGTTCGACACGATCTTGTTGCAGCTCACGCACCGGTACAGGGTGGGCAGCGTGCCCGACAGCTGCACGAACAGCGTGGAGTAGTCGATGTTGTGATCCCTCCGATTGGCCGCTGCAGCGGCGGCAGCTGCGGCTGCGGCTGCTGCAGCCGAGGAGCTCGATCCGCTTGAGCTGGAGCTGGGCTGGGGCGACAGCGGGGCGGACACTGAGGCTGGTGCGGACGAGGATAACGATGCGGATGCGGATGCGGATGTGGAGGCTGGCTGATAGTGCGGCGAGGCCTGGGTGTGGCTGGGCGGCGGTGGCAGGGGCAACGGAGGCGGATGGTGGTGTCCGTGGTAGCCGTGATTCGACAGGTCCAACTGCTGGCCGGTTCCATTAGTGCTGCCGTAGCCCTGGTCGCGGTACCCGCTGCTGTGGCTGCTGCTGCTAGTGGCGGGCGGCGAGTAGGCCGCCTCTGCGGGGCAGTCCACCAGGGAGCGGTGCAGCGGCTGGTGGGGATGCGAATGAGGGTGGGCATAGTGGGTGGCCATGTGGTGCTGCTGCCGGCTGCAGCGGATGGCGCGCATGTTCAACTCCTTGCACTTGTACTCGCAATTGTAGTTGTTGTCCACGTAAATCTCCGAGCCAGAGCCAGAGCCAGAGCCAGAACCAGAACCCGAGCCGGAGCCAGTACAGGGCCCGTCCTCGTCTGGCGGTGGCGGGGCATAGACCACGGCTCGCCTGTACTTCGGCGGCGTGGCATGGTAGGAGGCGACTGCTGCCACTGCCACGGCAGAGACTTTGTCCTCCGCCTCTTCCGATTCGAGCTGATCCTGCTCCTCGTCGATGTCCATGTCCCGATCGACATCCACCTCGTCGAGAGCCTCCTGCTCCTGCTCCTGCTCCAGGTCCGGCTCCCTGGCCTGATCCTGCTGATCGAGCTGTCGCGGATTGTTAAAACACTTAACGCGACCTGCAAACATTTGCTTGTTTCATATTAGGCGTCATCACTGTGGGGGTGTGGAGGGGGATCGGTGGGGGATCTGGGGGATCGCGATTCCCTTGCATTCCATGCGCACAGTGGGCCAAAGCCAATTGTCTGTGGGGTGTCTATGGGTGGGTGTCTCTAGGTGTCGCTAAGTTCAACGCTAAGTAGCCAGAGTAGGAAGTAGGCAAGAAACTCGTTTATAGGGTATATAAGATATGTGTGTATGGATAGTATATATATAAATATATACTACGAATATATATAGTATATAGGCTGGGTGTGTTTCTGTGTGTGTCGGTGTCGGTGTCTTTGTGTGTGTGTGTGTGAGGCTGTGAGGGCTATGCAAAACGACAACAGACAGCTACTAGAGTTGGTTCTTTTCGGAACAATCTTTGCGTGTACGGGCGTGTGGGGGGCAGAACATAACGGTAAGAACGAAGGAAAGAAAAACTCAATTCAAGTGAACGGCATTGACAATGACGGGTGGGGTAGGGTGGGGGGTGGTAGGCTGCGGCTGCGGCTGTGGAAATCATAATTTACAAGATCGCTCGCTGGCAGGTGGCGGGTGGTACGTGGAGGGCTAGGAGGAAACAAATCAAGAGTCTTAATCTAATTTTGTGGTGTGGTTTTTGGCAATCTATTGTATTGTAAACTGGAAAAAGTATAAACTCAAATTGTGTAAATCAAGGCTGGTCTTAAAGCTAGGGCGGCATCTCGATTCGGTTCGGCAGGACATTATAGCTCTAAAGTATAACAATTCAGCTAAATTAATTGTACTTTTGCATCAAAGCCAATCAATCAATCAATCAATCAATCAATCAACAGTGTGAAACGGATCGGGAGACTGGGATAAATCATAAATGAACTAAATGTAAATCAAGGTAAAATCAACTTTTGTCTCGTGTCATTTTGTGGCATCAACAATTTTGTTTTTTTTTTTCGTTTTTGGGCGCTCTTATCTTATAGTTCTGGCATTTGGTTTTCAAAACTTTATAATACAGTTCTCATCGTACACAATGATATTATTTCTTGTTCGTTTCATGAGGTGGTGGGAACGGATCTTTCGGGTCTTTTAGTACTTCAATGTTGCAACAGATTTTTAGCCATACTTTGTGGTACACATCAATATATATATATTTATATGTATATGTATATGTGTGTGTGTGTTTATTATATTATTACATATTTATTTTATATGAGCAAATTCCAGTTCTCTTTTTTTTTTTGGTTTCAAAAAAGGGTGATGGTGAAAGGGGGGGGGGTCTTGGTGCGGGTTCTTTTAGCTGTAAGGTAATTTCAATTTTGGTTTAAATTTCGTTTTAATATTTCTGTGATTTTGTGAGGTTTTTTCTTTGTATTTTCCATTTCGTTTGTGCGCTATCTGGAGCCAATGTGCGTGTGTTTCTCTCTGCTTTTCACTTTACCGTTACGTTCGAGTGGAGCTGCTCTCTCGCTAGCGATCTTTGGGGGCAGACACAGAGATGCAATCAAACAAGCACAAACAGACACATACACAGACACAGTTAAACATAGAGATTGAGAGAGTGACAGAGAGACAGAGATACAGAGAGAGAGAGAGAGAATAGGCAAAAGAAAGGAATATTGGAATATTGGAATACACTTAGTTAGCTTTGGAAAATACCAATTGGAATAAACAGACAGTCAGAGTTACGGTTATCTCGTTACAAACAGTGATCTTCACATCAAATCATAAATGCAACAAATGTTAGTAGAAAATCTTCAAAGGAAGAAAAAGTACAGGTGTCTGTAGCTGTGTGTGTGTTTGTGTATGTGTCTGTGTGTGTGGCAGTAAAAAAAAAAACACAAATAAAACGACATCGATTTGGAAGCTGTTTTGAGGAGGCGTATTCATAATATTTTCTGTGTTGACCAACACTGAAATGCTATCGATAGTTGGCTTGCTTTTGGTTTCGTTTTCATTTCTTAGACAATAAGTTGCAACATTAAAGACGAACAGAGAGATTTGGAAAAATTTTGTAGCGATTTTGGTTATAAGATATGGTTTTGTTTTACATTTACTTTCTTAAAAAAAATGATGGATAAAAACTGAATGAAATTGGAACAGAAAGCGCGGCAACTTCTACGTTTCGTGTGCGTGGAAATTTATTTAATGTTTTATATTGTTTGATTATTCTTTATTATTTATAGATTTTTTTGTTGTTTAATTTGTTTTTTTTTTTGTGGTTTTTCTGGATGTTGTTGTTGTTGTGTGCGCCAATTGATCTATTAAACTGAAATGTTTCATTTGGATTGGATCGGTTGGGGAGTTGGGGATGGCATAACGGAGGCATTTTCGACTACGAACTAATTGGGGGGAAATTTCCGATTGGTCTTAGGACTAAATTATTACAGCAGCGGCGGCGGAATGAAGAAGATGGGAAATCGATAAGTCGATAGGTTAAAAATTAAAAATTATACGTATAAAATTAAAATAAATCGATACATAAACGATAATTGTATGTGTGGGAGTGTGTGTATGGCTGAGGTGGTGTGAGTGTGTGTGTGTGTGTGTGTGTGTGTGTGTGTGGGGGGTGTGGGTGTCTATGTCTAGGTCTAGGCGTCTTAAAACATGCAACATGCGGCAAACATACAGCAAAAACTAAACCGTATTTACGATCAAGTCTCGGCTCGAGTGGGGAAACTCATCCTAAAAGCTATTCATACAATACGAGTATGTATATATATATATATATGTAAATATCAATATCAAATATATAGAAATACCATACGATACGACAAACAACGAAATAATATTTATATTAAGATATGTACGAGTATGTATAGAGAGAGACAGAGAGATAGAGAGAGAGAGATATTCTGGTAGGAGGAGAGGTGTTGATCTGTTGCTCTAGCTAGCACTTTGGGTCGTACTCCTCTTAGGGTCTATCATTCAGAACGAATAGGCTACGGTAAGGCAAAGGATATAGTACTGTACTGTGTGGATAAAACTATGTAGGATTCTGTACTTACAAAGCATAAAAAGAAGTGGGATTCAAGGGTGTAATACTTGTCTCAGGGTAACAGATAAATATATAGAAATGCATGCAGGAACATTCGGGGGAACTACATGTATAGAGTGGAGACAGGCCTTAGTCGGGTTAAGATGAGCAGAGAGAGAGAGAGCTCTCTGTGTGTAGGATAAACCCTCTCCATTATATACATACATGTACTTCCTGGGGGGCCTTTGGGGTAGTGGGTTGGGGGGATCTCTAGGGGGTTTACTCTACTTAATTAAATTAGGATAGTTTGCTCGGTTTGGTTAGAAGATAGTTATGGGGTGTAGAGTGGATGGAGGAACGGAAATTAAGCTACAAATTTTCTACAATTTTTTTTTAATACAGTTTGTCTTCGTTTTCTTTTGCTTTTGAGTCCAACGTTTGAACAACATAAAATATATATGTACGTATATGTTTCGACCAAATATATAGCCATAGTAGTACTATATAGAGGGTAGATATATAGTCTTTTGGTTTCGATTTCGAGTGCGTTTGGGTTTAAAAGCTCAGAGAGAAGAAGATCTTGTGTGATTGGTTGGTACTTGTAGTTGTAATTGTGCTAGCTTTGGTTCTGGCCTGCTGATATTCTGATCTGCTGATCTGATGATCTGCTGATCTTCTGATTCTATGGGGCAGTACTCACCGTCAATGTTGTCCGTCTGATCGAGCTGCATCTGTTTGGCGTCGTTGTGATCATCGCGCGCGTCCGCCGCCTGCAGGGCGTGCTGCGACAGCAGCGTCGACATTTCCTCCGCGTGCAGCTTCTGCACACCGAAAGGGGGACAGACAGAGGGGAGAGCCAGAGAGGGGGAGAGAGAGAGATAGAAAGATGGGGAGAATTGTAGTAAAGTTCTGCTTTTTATTTGACCCAATTGCAAAATGCTGCCAAAGCCGATGCTTATCCTAGATTTACGTTACACAAAAACAGAGTCTAGTCTAGGGCCTAAGGCTAATCCTGAGCGGTGTGTGGGTGGCCTGCCGGCCCAGCCGGCCTGTGGCTAAAGGCCGTCCTTGCCCACATTGATGGTGATGATGTCGGGGGTGGTCGACGGCTGCTGCAGCTCCTGGAGCTCCCGCTCGTAGCAGAGCCGGTGCGACTTGCACTTGTTGTGGTGGTTCACGATCTCCAGCCGGAAGTTGGAGTTGCCCTCCACGAAGCTGGTGCGGATGTCGGCCAGCTCGGGGCTCCACTTGCGGCAGTGCTTGCAGAACATCGTGTTGGCCCGCTCGTCGTACTGCAGCCACTCGAACTGGTACAGCCAGTTGGAGCGGAAGCGTCCGCTCTTGCGGGAGGAGCTCCCCGTCGCCGTCGCCACCACTCCGCCCCCCGTTGAGGATGGCGGCAGTAAGTGCTTCCTCTGCTGCTGCTTCTGTTGCTGCTGCTGCTGTTGTTGCTGTTGTTGCTGCTGCTTCTGCTGCTGCTGCAGCAGGCGCTGCACGGTGGAGTCGAGGCTCTCCTGCTGGTAGTGCTGCTGCAGGCTCTTCAGCTGCGCCTCCACGGCCTGGTGGAGGAGCATCTGGTGCACGGACTTGCTGCCTAAATACGCCTCGCTCTTTTTCACCTACATGCACGCCGGGGGAAATCAGCTTGAGAAAACATTGTTCTGATAGAAGGAAGGATTTTCTGTTCTTTTGCGTCTTCTGCGTCTTTTTCGCTAGAGACGTAGCATTGTTGAGATTTTTTCTTTTCTTTGTTGGCCGATATTCCGATATTTTGGAAAATGCAAAAACGTTTTTTCTCTACGACAAAACAACCAATCCTTCGTTCTGTTTCGACTCTGCTTTGATTTTCTTAAACAAAAATATACACAAATTTGGCAGCAGCTCTGTGGCTGCTTTGGGAAGCATTTTGCAATTGGCTTGGCTTACAGTTAGATGGTCAAAAAGCTTTACAAGAATGTTCTGTACTGTACTGTATTATTAGCTGGAACCATCGAACCGGTTCAAAAAAAGAAAAAACCTTAACAAACTAATGCAGCAAAACAAAACAACGATCGTCGAAAGAGGTTCGGTTCATAGATTGACTGATTGACTGCCCCCAGAGTGGGGCACTTACCGGCAAGTAGTCGGGCGGCAGGCCCACATGGTGCTCCCGGTGCTGCTGCTGTTGCTGCTGGGCGTCCATCAGCTCCTGCTTGATGCTCAGCGACTGGCTGAGGCCGCTCAGGGCACTGGTCGCGCCCACATTGCCCCCACCGCCGCCCAGGTGGCCGCCGGTGGTCATCGAGAGCGGCGAGTCGTGACGGCCGCCCGCATCCTCGGACTCCGATGTGCTGCCACCTGTCTTGGGCACGGGGCTCGACTTGAAGTTGCCCTGCAACACGGAAAAGATACGAAAGGTGACATTCAGTAGGCGAAAAACAGTTAAGTACCCAATAATCAAGCCCAGCATGCTCTCCGCCAGGGTATCGTATCGCTATGACAACAACAATTTGCACGTGTGCCAGCGGTGGAGAGAGCGGCACGTGCCTAGGCCACAAAAATTTCACTCGCTGATAACGGACAGAAATAGCTGAAATACCACACACGCAAACAATATTATTTGATCGTAGATCACTGGCCACAGCTGATAGCAGCCACAGCACACCCCATGGATGGGCAGACGCCCAAGGGGAAGGGCACTGTCATGTGAGGAGAGCGCGCGCGAGGCGCGAGGCGCGAGGCAGCTACGCTACGCTACGTAAATGCCACAGATACCCGAAAATGTTGATACTGTTTGTTGTTTGTTTGCCTGCCGCCTGCCGCCTGCGCCCACCGCCCACCGCCCACCGACTGATAAGCAAAGTTTGGCAAAGCCAACGGCAATGAGGAACGAAGGCCACCGTGCGGGGGTGGCTCGAAACAAGGCATACCCAGGGAATATGCACTTATTATAGGCTCATCGTATTCGGAAAACCCTAATTCCCAATCGATCTCTTTTGGGAGACATCGATCAATCGATTATACCTATGACAGCCGCCAGATATGAGTATATTTTGGCTTCTTTTTGTCAAGAAGTTAGGAGAAATCTACTCAAGGTATAGTGCAATATATTCCTCCTTTTACAAAACTATTAATAAACTAGAAAATCAAAATTAAATTGTGGGAATTTTACTTATTTACCCAAAGAATACAGGTGATATATTGCGATAGTATCATTAGCATATTAGAGCCAGAATGAAGAAAACTTTTTGTAAACCTGGTTTTTATATCAGCTACTCGAAGAGTATGGGATATACCATATACATATGTATGTACTCCTCTATTACGACCTTCCGTACAACAAAGTTTTCTATATATCGAATTTAATTTCAGAATACTGCATTTTCGTTCAATTTTGATTAATCAAATTTTTTCTATGCGTCTCCAAATCTCCCTATTACGAATATATATTTTTTTTAAATTATTTTGATTGTGCTTTCCTACCAAAGAAAAAATGTATTTGGGGAAGTCCCGAACTATAAATGTGACGCTAGCAATCGATAAGCATAATTTCAGCACTACTTATTTTAGCATTAGGTCCCTGTTTTTAGTTAATCTAGAGGTAGAGGTTAAAGCGTATGATAGAGAACGCAAAGGAATTCGCTGTAGCAAAGGGACACTTAGAGTTTGAGGCAATTGGATGTTTGGATAAATTAAACAAATGTACATATGTGCTTCCATAAGCATCCTTCAAGTTTTTTATTGAGAAGGAAAAGAGGCAAACTCAAATGAAAACAACAATTAAGAATTATTTTAAAGCAAAACAGGCTTGAAATACATTTTTTTTGTACGAATTTTATATTTGAAATACAGATCTCAGAGACTATAACAGCTAGAGAAACCACATTTTGTGTTCAGACTCTGGCGAATTTTACAAGGAAAATGTTACACTGTTGCCTACAAAATCATGAAAATCGATGGTATCCGTAGATAAGAGATGAAGATCATAGAGAATGGCCATATCTATCATATTGCCGAATCAGTTCGGATCATTTTTGTAGCCAGAAGGAACAAGTAAAAATTGCAGTGGCTCCGCTATGCCTTCCACGCGCTTACTCATTCTTTTTCTCTCTCTCACACACACCCTTCCTCGTGCAGTGTGCACGCTCTGGCGGAGGAGAGCGAGATTAAACGGCTGATTTTCTCGTGAGAATGGAGAAAAACAGATACATGCTGAGTATCGGGTATCGAATATCGGCAGGGGCCGCGGCTCTTATTCCCTTAGAAAAATAGCATTAAAATTTGATCTGCTATTACAAAATAAATAAACAAAAGTTCTACTTTTGATTTAATTGATCATAAATTAACTAAAATCATCAAAATAACGAAATCGTCTACAAAAAAAGTACAAAAATCCAATTCAGTAAATTGCGGTAAATTAATTAAGAAATTCAATATAAAAATCTGCAAAAAATAATTTCTACAAAAAGAAAAGGGCAGATATAACAATTTAACAACTTCATTGTCCTGTAACTAATAAATATTTGACGCCTGATTTGATGTGAGATAATTTCTATTTAAATTTAATTGTCAGACAATTAAAATTCCCGAAGAGAAAAAAACGCATCAACTTTAAATTGCGGAAGTGCTGACCGCCGGAGCTGGCAGTTGTTTAGGTTTGAGCGCACAAAAAAAAGTCAAACAATTTAATTACGAATACAACAATTATGCGAGGAGCCAGTTAATAAAGCAATTAAAGAATACTCGCATGTGGGACAAATGCAAATGGCAAAAAAAAACTGGGGATATGAGCTGTAGGTTTTAGGGGATGCCTAAATGCTATCCATCAGATGGGTATTCCATTTCTCTTTCTGGTTTCTATCTACAAATATTTTGTCACAATATCCATAGTCTTCTCCTGACGATCGTCCCCTTCTATGAAGCTATGATCCATCACTCGATCGAAACACATTACAGCGCTTCGATTACAGTTCCCTTGTGGATGCCACAAGGATAATAGGTCGAGACTCGATTGATTGCTCACCTGAGAGTCCTGCGGGTAGTGCCTGTCCTGGGCATGGGCCGCGTTCGCATGGTGGCTCGAGGACAGCGAGTTATCACAGTTGGATGATGAGTTCTTACGTCTGCGCTTACTACTACTCAGCTGGTCCACCGGGGTGGTGGAGAGCTCCCTCTCGCGGTCCCTGCTGCTGTCCCGCTCTCGTTCTCTTTCCCGCTCTCGTTCCCGCTCCCGTTCCCGCTCCCGATTGTTGTTGTTGTTGCTGCTGTTGTTGTTATTGTTGTTGCTGGTGTTGCTGATGTTGCTGTTGTTGTTGTCCTTGGTGCTGTAATCGAGCTGCAACAGCTCGTCGCGACTGTCGGCCCGCTCGAGGGTGCCCCGCTCGCTGCCACGGTCGCTGCATGCATCGCCGCGACTATTGAGGGCATCGGCGCTGGCACTGCGACTGGCAGCAGCGGCCGCCAGAGCAGCAGCAGCCACCGCGGCCGCCGCTGCCGCACTGGCGCTGCCCACGCTGGGAGATCGTTCGCCGGCACTGGGCGTCGTCAGGCCCAGAGCCGCGGCGGCGGCATTCACGCTGCTGCTGCGCTGCGACAGCTCGTCGCGCAGGTCGCGTTCGCAGCGGGAGCGCAGGGAGTCGCGTGAGTCTCGCACCCCGTCGCCCACCCCGAGCCCGCCGCCCCCATAGCTGGAGGAGGGTCCGCGGCCGGTGGGGGAGCTGGCGGCCGAGTCGCGCAGCTTGTCGGAGTCGGACCGATAGTTCAGATTGTTGTTATCTGTGAGACCGCGCACCTGAAGCAATGCAGAAGGTAGATATTTGTTGTATTAATTTATATTCGGGGATTTTGCAGTGCGACCGGAAGTACAGTCACCGCAGCGAGAATTTAGGAGAATTTTATTAAAGGTACAGAAAGCCTGTTCAAAAGAGGACTGGTCGGGGTCACCAAATGTGTCTAGACCAGTATCTTGTGATTCAGAGTCGCGCAGAAGTAGTCTTTGCTCCTTATTTGTTTACTAAAATTCTCCTTTTAATTCCCAATTAGTGACTTCGTCTCCCTTGGAATGTAACCCACCTGCAGGCTTTCGGCCGTCTTGAGAAACATGGGCAGCGAGCTCTGGCCCACATTGACCTCGCCCTTGTACATGAAGTCGAGCAGAGATCGCATCTCTGAGTATCTGACATCTTTCAAGTAGATGATGGGATGTGGATGTTGATTCTGTAGGAAAATCGTCTCGAAATATGGACTGCAGGCGGACAGTATGGTCTGATGGGCCTGCAAAACGGGAAAATACATTCGTTATTCGATCATCGCTCTGGGGATTCATGACTGTAAGACGTTACCTTGACTGTTTCGCCCTCGCAGGCGAGCGTGACATCGCAGAGCGCCTCACGCTGCAGCAGGGAGGTGAGGACGCCGGTCAGATTTGTGGGATGATTGTTCCAGCGTAAGCAGAATTGCTGGTCCATCGCTCCTTGGTCAGTGTTGTACCTGCAAGAGGTGATAAGTGGGTGGAAATTCCATTAGATATCGTGGGATTGATGATAGGTGTTAACACATTGGACTGGTTTCAACCGGAATCGATTAATTATTCGCTTGATTAAGTTATTTATCAGTAACATGGTTCGGTTAGGATTGTATTGGAGATTGGTAGGCTCTCTATTTCTGGCCACTGACTGTGTTCTCCCTCTAGGAAACGGAAGCAATTTACTGCTTAAACTGTTATCGTTATCACTCCGCCCATTCCGATGCCGATGCCGTAGCCGATTCCGAGGTCGATTGCGTGGGTGTGTAACAAGAAATGCCAATGATAATTTGTCATTAAACACAATTGTTCATTACAATTGCTGGATGCTGTTCTCAATTATTTATTGCATTTCCGTTTGCCGATAACACGGACCGCACCCCCCACCCCCCATCCCCACCGCACACTTGTGTGGCCAGACTTGGCAGCAGTGTGCGTGGAAAGGCGTGCATGCGTGTGTTTGTGGAGTGTTAATTTCCATTTGTTGCCGCCATGTTTTGCTGCTGGCTAACTGTTAATTACTCAGCCAAATAGACAAGCAATCCATGCAAATTTAGTTGTAAGCCAACCTGAGAATCAGGGAGCGAGGAGCAGCAGGGCATAATTAATGGCCGTTCGGGCTTATCTATGGGATATTTATGGAGCCCTCCGCTCCCCCGGCCCCGCAAAGAAAGGAAGGTGCACTCGGTGCAGCTGCACCCGAATCTGCTCGATCTGCCCTCGCGCCTACGTGCTTTACACCGGGGCGTAGCCTCTCTCTGTGTGCGTTTCTCTTTTACAATTCCCTGGAATCTATCCCTAATCTTAACGGTCGCGGGCAAAGTTCTAATGGGAAACGTCAGCCCGTTGGCGGGGGGGCAAGGTGGTGGCGGCCGAGGGGAGCCCGATTTGATAAGAAGCACTTTTGCTTTTCTTTACAATCCATTCCGACCATCGGGCGAGCGTAAACAATCACAACAAGAGAGAGAGAGAGAGAGAGAGAGAGAGAGCGAGCGAGAGAGCTTTAGCTTGCGAGAGCTTTTTGCCGGCGCCGAAGAACTTTTTCGCAAACGAACGGCAGAAGAGAGCCGAAAGCGGTGTGAGGGGTTCCACGTGCGAGAGAGAGATTAGATCGAGTGAGTGCGAGCATAACAATAATAATAATTACAGCTAAAGCTACAGCTACAGCTATAGCGGGTGCATGCGTGTGTGTGTGGGCGTGTGTGTGTGTGTACGTGTGGGGGGCCTCAGCGCTGTCGTAAGCGTTTTTTATTGGCCCGCCGCCCTGCCCCGCAGCCACTTCCACATCCACCGATTACGTTCTTTGTTTGTGTTGCGTTTAGAACCAACGAAAAAAAAGGCACACACATCAGCAAACGCGACTTTCATTTTCATTCGCACAAATCTTAGTTTTTTGGGAGGGGTACAGAGCCTCATATCTGGCAGTAATATGGTAGATTTTGATGGAAGGTGATAGATCTCACTGTTTTAAGAGCTTTTCCAGCGCGATTTTCAAAAGAAAAATCATTTTATCTGATTAATCAATCAATTTTCCCTAAGTTTGGCTAATTTTTATAAGCGTGACTTTATTGCATTATTTTTTACAATTTTATCCCATAAATTAATCAATTTTCCATAAGATTGGCTAAGCGTGTTTTTATTGCATTATTTTTAAAAATTTTGTAAACGATGGAGTCTATTATCTACTACTGAAACTATCGTTGCTCAAAAGTTTCCAGAAACAAGATGATTTTCCACTCAATAGACAGCAGATAGCAGGTATCTCACAGTCGAAATGGGTGCCGCCCGTCTTGGCGCTCTCTTGTAAATGTTTTTAAATTGTGTGTGCAAACGAATTGCGAATCATTTTCATTTGGTAGTACAATTCGTTTGCCAGATATCTATTTGCTTATATCTATATATTCATATACGTGTATATACGTAAATCCTTGCAGGCATTTCGCAAGATAGATCTTGGATCTACTATGAAATGCTCTAAAGATGGATATCCCGTGGGAGAAGACTAGAAAAACTATAGCATAAATTATTATTTTATAGATAAGCGTTTTTTTTTCGTCCCCGTTTGATAACAAATAATATACGATGACATCATAAATCGGTTGTAAATTTCACTAAAATAGATCTGGGAAACCCGAAAGTTATCTGTGAATATATTTCCGTGGTTAAACAAATCGACAAGCGATGACTCAATGAATATTAACTATATAACAGAGCCCCTTTGGAAGGTTTTACAGGAAAGATAATAGCTAGCAAACCGCTCTGTAATCACTATTATCAACCGACCCATAAAACCCAATTAAATATCCCCTAAATACATCACTTAGAGCCCCACTTCTGGCTGTCATTCTATCCGCCTGTCCCCCCACCAAATCTTAACTTTTTGTTTGCTTTAATTACTTTACTTTTGGCATAAAAACCAAGGGGGGGGGGGGATAGGTAATAAAAGAGATCGCAACTTGGCCAACGCCGGCGCCAACAGCGACACAAAAAAAAAACAACAAGCCAAGCATTTTTTAGATACTTATACCCCCTCCCCCCCCTCTGTTTGCATTCGCTGTCAGCACCAACGCCGGCGTCAACGTCAACGTCAACGCCAGCGTCAGCGTCGCATGCGATTGCAGTTTTTATTTTCACTTGCGCTTTCAATGCAAATTTGCAATAAAAGCAAACAAACTTTTGTTGCTGCCGCTGCTGCTGATGCTTTTGTTTAATTAATGAGAACTTTTACTTTCGCTCGACGCCGGCTGCGCTGCGGGCAGCGCTGCGGGCGTCGCTGCTGCTTACGTAAATTGTTGAAAAATATTTACGCGCTTATCAGCCGCAGAGAAAGAGAGAGCGAGGAGAGAGGAGCCTGGGCTGCAGGGGCAGGCGATCAGCAAATTGCGCAATATGTTAAATGCCGCTCAACTGCTGCCCCCCTGCCCCCCTGCTGTAACGCCGCGAATCAATATCAAGCTGCAGATACAGCGGCAGCGTCAGATAAAGATAAAGAAAAAGATTGAGATAAGAATAAAATAAAAACATTTTGTCACGCGTCAACATCATACTTAGATAATCAACGCTAACTGCCAGTCATACAGCCACAGCCACAGCCACAGCCTCACACAGATACAAGCACACGCACACGCACACAGAGGCACAGATACACCCCGAGAGCGAGAGCGGACCACGGGACGTATCAGTAATGGCCTTCAACTTTCAGTTAGTGGCGCCTTATCGTCCGAGGCAGCGATGCCGCCGCGCTGCCAGCGCCTCTCAGCTGTTATGTTCCGCTGTAAGAGCGCGTCCCCCTCCCCTCCCTTCCCCCCCTACACCTCCCCCTCCGCTACTCGCACTCGACTCGTAGTTTTTCAATTTACACGTTCTAAATAGTTTGAGCAAAGCCGCACGAGTATGAGTGTATCTGAGAGATACACGAGCACTCGAGAGTGGGCCCCGGCGGCAGAGGGGGTAGCGGTCGCAGCGGTGGGGGAAAACAGCGATAATAATTATAAATACAAAGTAGTTTGTTGACGTTTGAGGTTCGTTTGTTCGCTCGTTCGTTGTTCGGTTTCCAATTTTCGCTCCGCCGCTGCGCTGTCGCTGCCGCTGCCGCCGTCGCTGCTTTTTATCTTTCGACTTAGAACTTTACATGTTGGCGTAGGTTGACCGCTCCCCGCACCCCGCACCCCGCTTTGCCCCCCGCCTCTGAGCGCTGTAAATTTACCGTTTGCCGTGCCGTGCTGTGCTGTGCCGTGGCGGGGTTCAACGAACGCTGAACGAGACGACGGCGCCCACATGGTCATTACGACGCTGGTATCTGTCAGATACAATTTGGGCCTCAGAGCAGATCGATAATTTCTTTCGTTACGCGGCTGCCCTTCAGAGAACATAAATCAATGCTGAAAATCGCACAAAGATGCGTTTAAACCGATAGCCAAATGAATAATTTGAATTTATTAATACACACACAGATACAGATGCACGGCCACAGATACACTTACACGTACACATATGCAGAAGGCAAACGAGATCAAGATTAGCGCCCCGGTTCGCGGTTCACCTTGACTCAATGGTCAAATGTGCAAAATGAACAACAACTTCATAGATACGTAGATACATACATAGCTGCTCGGACTACGGGCAGCATGAATCAGCATTTGCAAAAGGTTTGGCCAGCCTCAAAAGCAGCTTGTAAAAGATGAAGGTCGCCTGTTACAGATACAGATACACACACACACACACACACACACAGATAGAGATGGAGAGATAGATTCATGATTGATTAAGCCCGGCCTGTAAACAGAGGCCAAAAACTCCATTTAGCCTTTGGCTTGGGGCTTGGCCGGACCGCGAAAACCATACGAATGTTGAGCAAGGTCAAATGTAGGAGGTTGCTGGGCAGAAAGGCCCAGCCGCAAGTAGGTCACGATGCCAGATGCCAGACACCCGATGTGGGGGCGGACTGGGTGTGTGCGGTATTAGGCTAATGGGTCTTACAGGTTTTCGGAATCAGTTACCTTCTTTTTTGGGGCCCACTTGGGATTTCCAGTTATTGCAGAACACGTTTTGTCTACAGAATTTATGGGAATTTATGTCTTGAAGGGAAGCCCAGCACAGTGCCTGCCTATTGTTTGGCAAAACCTTTTTTCTAAGACATAAAATCCTAGGGATAGGGTGATGAATCGAAGACTGACCGAATCTTGGCCCAAATACAGACCAATCTTGGAATTATTTGAGTGTTTTCCCTGCCCAAAGAAGCCATCAAGAGATGGAGAGGCCTTTTCGAAATGGTTTTCACTGTTGACCATTTGTTTTGTCTCCCTGGATGCTGGCTGCCAAATAAAATGGAAATTTCCAAGGCATTTACATGGCGACAAGCGGCCAAAAGCTAATAATTTCAGTTGTCGCTCGTTGAGAGATATTTTTAGTGGCAAGCAGTGGAGGAGGAGGAGGAGGAGGAGGAGGCCAGTGCAGGCCAGGCCAC